GTGCCATGTAGGGGTCCCTGGGCCAGACATTGGACATAAATGTTTAATGATGTAATGATAATCTATCAACAGTGATCACTTTATTTTAGTCTAATTGTGAAAAAGACTGCAGTTAGGGATGCTAATGGTTATTAAACTACTATATGTAGAAAATAAGTTCTTCGAGGATACGTGTTGTTTTTTTTAACAGACAGCAGTCGGTTCACTTCTGTCTCCAATTACTCCTTTAAATATGCAATTTTATAACGTATTTGATTAAAAGTCTTTTAACAGGCATGTTAGTTTGGTCGACATGACTGGCTAGAAGAGGATTTGATCTTAATGGACAGGAATAATTTCATCCAAAAGTAAGAAAACCAAAGGAGCAGTATTTAAAGAAAATAACTAGTGTGGAATTTAATTTGAAAGTTGTTGTTTTTTAAATTGGTTTAAAATTGTTGTCGGTCCCTAGTTACAGGCCCGAGAGTCGTTGTTTCTTGGATGTCACTACCACAAACCACTCCAACCTGATCCATCGACATAATACTGCAGTGACATATGTTACAAAAGGCGGGGCTAAAAACTGATGTCTGGAGGCAGAGTGGCATTCATAATTAATCACGTTGTGCTTTTCCTTTCTCCTCAACCGTCCGCTTCCTCTTAACGTTCTAAACCAGAAGCTCCTCTGGCCGCTGACTCTCCCCTGATACGATCTGTCCAGAGGAGACGGCGAGCCCTCCCCCTCCAAAACCAATTTTATTGTTATTATTATTATGAGATTAATCTGAATTACAATGAATGAAAGCTCATTGGTGAAGTCGTGCACGTTCTCCAGGATATGATTAACACCTCCGGATTTCCAGTTCACTGATTTCTGACCTGTTTTAATGCCGTCTGAGAACAGAAGATGGAATTATTATATTTCTATTACTGTGACCAAAGTTGAGATTGAATTAGGATTGTTCTTGTATTTGAGAAAGCTGCACTTGACCTGTTTTTTTGGGGGTTAACTTTTCTATAATTATCACTGTGTTCTGATGAACTACTAATCATTTCCTTAAGCGTTTCCTACATTTGTCAGACGACAGGGGGATTTACAAATCCCTGTTATATTTCTATGAGGTTTCCAAAACTTCAACGAAATAGTTAATGCCAGGTTTACCTAGCACTTGTAGGTGATGGTGAGCTTGTATCAGAATTTTGTCAAAAGAGACAGGGGAAAATACACACATTCTCACATAATATACATATTTAAAGCCCCATCTGCTGTGTGCTTTTCTATGATAAGAAATAATACTATGATCAGTATTATTTTTTTGAATATGAGCATTTTAATGATTCTCTATTTATAAGTGATTTTGCATTAGAATTATAATAACGTTAAACAAATCCAACGGTTGCCCATTGTCATGACAGGAACCGCCAACATGCTCGTGAAAAGCGTACTGTACATACACGCACGCGGACGTAAACACACCAGTGAGATCGTACAGCTCTGTGTTTCTCACCAGTGCCAGAGTACAGCTCGCTGGCACACACAGTTGTTTCTGGATGAGGTCCAACCATCACTTCCTCACGTGCCCTGTAATCTGAGGTTAACCAAAGAGGCGTTCGCAGCTCCTCCACGTCCACCACAGAGTCAGAGCAGCTTTATATTTCCTCTCTCTCTGCTTTTAAACGTCACTACACTTCTAATGGATTATAAAGTGCACCACGCGCACGCACACTTACAGGTTATTAGCCCACTACGTTAACTGATATTTTACTGCCAGAGTGTTTTTCCTTTTCTTTTTTTTTTTTAATGTATGCAAACAATGTTAAATGTCTGGAAGCTCCGTTTTTATCTGTGTGTTGACGTTATTTTTCTGTCTACACCATGTCATTGTCCCGTGAGAACGAGGTGAAAAAGGCTCACAGGCCATTTGTCATGATACATCACATGCTATAAATCACGTGAACAGACAACACGTTCCAGTTAAGCAGCAGCAGCAGCAGCGACGCGGGGCCCCCTGAGTTAAAACGTGGTATTAATCTTTAAAAAGATACCATCTACTCTTTCCACGCAGCTCTGCTCACGAACGCTGACCTTTTACTCTGTTGTTTAAGGATTTCTTTTTTTTTTTCTTTTTTTTTTTATGCTCAATCCACAATGAACAGTGGAGATAAGATGATTCATCACACTTCATCTAACAAAAACAGATAGGGCTGCAGCCAGCACTTTCACATCCAAAACACCTTCTCACCAATCGGGGGGCTGGAACTACATCTGGAGCTTTGAGCATTGGAAAGACTGGGGGTGGGGGGGCAGCATTGCTTAAAACCCACGATATTTTGGTATTTGGTAGTATTGCTATTAAGTTTTTGTTAAATATAAAGACTATAAAATACTATGGTCCAAACACAGCAAATATATATTTATTATATATTTCTTATTCTTAAATGACCAACTAAAGCATTTCTATAAATTAAAAAAAATTAAGGGTCAAATTATTATTGACATCTCATTGACCTGACGACCCATAAGTGGCCCCCAGGCTGGGAGTTTGGAACCACTGGTCCAAAGAGACTATTTTGCAGGTCTGCATTGTAAGACCTCCTTAAAGTTCCTGAGAAAAATACAGGACAGAAATGGCCTGCAAATAATTAATTGAAAGTTTATTTTTCTTTCTACGACAGATCTTCAAACATGTTGATCAGTTAAAATTACCCAATCAAACCAGAGCATGCCTGAAACACAAAGTCTTCCAAGGAAAACCCGAGACGTAACATGCTGGACGTCTAAATAACTCCATATTTATCTAGTGTTGAAATTAAAGATATTTTTGATGATTCTTTTGATTTCCATATCTCACAAGGAATCTGAGGTTTTCACACATATGTTTTGCTTTTTTTTTACTCCACCCTGACCTGCAACACCTTCATTTTCTCTAGTGCCTCTTGGTCCCTTCACACCTGACTGACATCAGGACTGAAGTACAGAATGACTAGAGCGGTTTGCTCATCTGACAGCTCATTTATTTATAAGCTTTCTCCTTTTTTCCCCCCCTTTTCTCACTCACTCCCACACTGTATGACATAACAGCAGAAAATCCCTCTCGCCTTTATTAGCCATGCTCTGTAACTTCAGATCTCTTTAAGCCCCGGCATAAAAAAAGAAGAGGGTCCTATTCTTTAGCAATTCAACCCCCGTGCTCACATTGGATCAGGGTGTAATTACTCCTGCTATGAGACTGTAAGGCTGCCACGAGCAGAGCTTTTGAAGGAGACAAAGCAGTTCCTGCATCAACTCTTGGTCAGGCACATCTACAGGAACTAGAACGGCGGCCGCTTTCTTTGACTTTCCCATAAATCCACAGTTAGACTTTCCCAAAGGGAGGATTCTCATTTTGGGTTGAAAGATCTAAAGAGAATAAAGGAACCAATCTCCTCAGTACCCAACGTTTTTTGTACCAAGCTGGTATCAGCCGTTACTGCGGACCGGTAATACCACGCCATCGTTGAAGAATCATTACATTTTTAAATCAAACCTCTTTTAGAATTTCTTCTGTTAGTATCAGAGTCTGAATGACCTGTTGGTTTGAAACATTGTCAGATTATCTATGAATGAAAACAGTAAAGGGATATGACTGGATTCTTTTGGAATGAAGTAAATTAGTAAAACTGAAGGACATCTTTTCAAGGTGTCCCCCTGTGGTCTGGAACCAAATCACCTACGAACCGGCATCCGTTCCCGAACCAGGCTCTATTAGACTCAATCTCTTTGAAATTACAGCCAAAGTGACAATGTGTTTCCCAATTTCTTTTTCTGGCGACCCATATTTGAAAAGTCACAAACCTTCGCGACCTAACTCAATAGACATTAATCGTAAACTCCTGGGAAACATGATGCGAGACAACCCCAAAAAAAAGTCTCTTTCGACACACCTGAGGGTCGCGACCCAGTCTTTGGGAAACAATCCTTTAGACATCACATAATTATTAATTAATAGTTCCATTACCAGAAAATGTCTGATTTGTTACAACAAGCATTAGTACGTTTTCCTAAACCTCCTCATCTCCAAACCTCTAAGGTGTGAGGTCTTTATGAAGGTGATGTTTTTTGTTGATCTAATTTCAATTCAAGTAGATAAAAACCACATGATCCAAGGGTGGATTCTAAATGGATCTCTAACTGGGGCTCTCAGCCGAGGTGGAGATTTATTCAGGAACTGTTTGCGGAGCCTTTCATAAAATATCACTTGGATCTCATTGATGGTTAGTCCAACCCAGTCGTCGATTCTCACCTCGTACGGCAACGAGTCCTACTAAATCAGGAACTTTTGAAGTCGCTGTCTTTCTTAAAGGTTTCTATATTAGATTTTGGATTCTCACAGATGTCAACTGTGACTTTTATCTATTTCGGCAGACACAAAGATTCCCGATAAAAGAGTCAGGATTCTTTCCTTAGATATAAATCATCTAGACGTTCAATCAGCGTGAAGAAACGAGAAAGGTTAGACCACATCCAGAGGAAATGAAATGGCAGCAGACTGTCTTCACACAACATATCAACCGGCTCTCAAGGTTCACAAACCCTGGTCTGCTTGGACTGTATGTAATGGTAAAGATACGACGTGTGTGTGTGTGTGTGTGTGTGTGTGTGTCCTTCAGGCGTTCTACTGTAGAAGTGACCAGGTCTCACTGGTTTCCTTCAGTCTTGACGGAAGAGGAGTTACAGGCAGGAACAATTTCAGGGAATGAAGAAAGAGGGGAGTGAACCAGGTCGGAGGTTTGACTGTGATGAAGAACACGCAGTGAACACATGCACACACACACCAAAACACACACACTGTCTTACACACACACACACAGATAAGAGAGCGAGGTTTTCAATGTGAAACTTCTTTGAAAAAAAACAAACAATCTTTCTTGCTTTTAGTTTCTTCACACACACACACACACACACTGATAAGGTCAGATCAGATGTTGCTCACAAACACACACACACACACACACATACTGTACATGAGGTTCCAACTCACCAAAGAACATGCTGCTGCTCTCCATGTCTCCTGCTCAGACTCGGGACTCTGTTGCTGTGTTATCGTCCTCTGTGGTGTCCTGCTGCCGGTGTGTGTGTGTCCATGGACAGCAGCAGCATCAGTCTGAGCATGTCTCATACACTTCTCAGGGGTGTGCACCAATGCGTGTGTGTGCGCGAGCGCACATGTGTTTAATCCAACCAGAGCAGCAGCAGCAGTGACTGGTCTGAACGCTCTCACTCTGCTCACTGCCGCCGTCTGAGGAGCTCACTATCTGCCTCCCTTGCTCTCTCTCTCTCTCTCCCTTTCTCTCTCTCTCTTTCTTTTTCTCGTGCCTCTCTCCTCCCCTCCTTTTCGGCCCTTCTTTCCCCCCACCTCTGTCCCTCCCCCTCGCCCTCTCAAACCCCTCCACACACTGGATCTTTTGCCTCTCTTCTCTTTGAGGTCTCTACAGTATATACATTTTCCAGCAACAGTCTCTCTCTCTCTCTGTGTGTCTCTCTCGCTCTCTCACGTCTCTCCATAGGTGTCTCATTTGTCTTTTTCCTTGCCATCTAATCCCCCCTCCATTTCTTACACTTTCTTCCCTACAGTCTGGCCTTTTTTCTTTTTTTAAATCTTATTTCCCATTCCCTGCTTCTTCTTCTTCTTCTTTCTGTCTTTCTTCATTCAGATTTTTCCTTCACTCCCCCTTTATTTTGTCTTCTCCACATCCCTCTATGTGTTTCCACCTCTCTTTCTGTATATATTTTTTCTCTTCATTTGCCTCATTTCTCTTTTCCACTCACAGTTGATTCCATTTGCAAACTCATTTCTGGAGGCTAAATCAGGATACGACGCAAATGAGCCTCACATTTCAGAAGCTGCATCCACACCCTGGTGGGGTTATTTATTTATATATATATATATTTATGAATAAAGGAAATGGTGTCTGTTCATCACATTCAAGGTGGAGCCTCTATATTTTACGATATAAAAAATACTTGAATACACATATTTTGACAACCAAATGCCAGAAGATTTTTCTATTTTAGTAAACGTTGTTTACATAATATTTAATGAAATTGCCTTCAAAGATGCCCCTAAAACATGCCATCAAAGAGGTGAGTAAATCTCAAAGTAAAAAGAAAAATAAAGGTAATATCCTTCTTCTTCACAGAACTCATCAGACTGACAAACACTGAAACGTAGAATTGGCCTGAGGAAAACACTCCAGTTGGAAATGAAAACCAAAAAACCCTCCGTCATCATTTGGTCTGATATTTTCTCCTGTTTTATGCCGCTCCTACGTCCCAGGCATGTCATATTTTTTTGTGGATTTCATTCTCACTTTTCTTCGCTGCTTCGTCCTCATTTTTGTAAAAGTGCACCGCTCTGTAGTGAGATGTTTATTGTCTTCGGCAGTACAGTACAGTACAGGGCTGCAGAGGCCACAAACAAGAGTCTGTTGTCCCCTTATTCTTTGTCATCCTAGAGGCTATTGGTTTTTTTATGTGTAATTTTGTTGTTGTTTTTACACACACGTCACATAAAATGAAGAAACTATGAACATTGTTTGGCCATTCTGTAGAGAGTACATAGTGCTCTTGCAGCAAAAAAAGCTGACTGGTTTGAGTTCTTTCTGGACTTTCTCTATCTTACCCTGACGTTACGTGGATTTTATGTCTGTTTTGCTGTTATGTTTATGTTTTTTATTAGGGCCATGAGTATTAAATCTGTTGATGTATGGATACTCATACGAGTATTGATCGAGTAACAATTACTGTATTTTCCGTACTACAAGTTGCACTTATTTGTCTGGAAAAGACGGTAATAAAATAAAAGGGTAACTTACTACACCAGGTATTGATTGATTTCAGAATTTTAACCTGTGTGATCAGGACTGAAACTGATATAAAAAAAAAATCTAAATTGTCTAAAAATAAAATTATTTAATTTGTTTTCCCTACTATGTTAGAAAAAACACAAACAAACAAAAAGTTGTTGAATTGACAGCATATGTCATGTGTGCTATTAAATCTGATATGGCTGATCACTAGCGACTAGCTTCAACTCGCCCTGTAACACTGATTTCCTTTGTTAACCAAATATTACTAAGACACTGAAAAGTTTTTATTTCCTTTGTTAACCAAATATTACTAAATATGAGCAGTAAAAGTCACGGTGGCCTCATCTGCTCTCAGATGCCCAAACCAACCACTGTTTGTTTGATTTAGAATTTGAGCTTTGTGATGATTAGTTCCTGTGTGGGCAAATGTTTGTTTGTTGGAGCATTTGGACTGATGACACACACACACACACACACACACACACATATGCAAAGACACTGTTTGGTCCTTCACTTTGACACATAATCAAACATTAAAAGTGATCCTTTTGTTTCTGCAGTATTTCGATACAACGTTGGTCTCTGCCTCAAACACACTTGGCTTTAAATGACAATTTGGTCACGTCAACACCTATGTAGAACTGCCATTCACCTTATTCCCCGCAGGGCCCCGTAGAGCTGTGGCGCCGTGAGGCCATTTTCCAAGAACAACACTGTTGGATAATCAGGTTTCTCCTGAACGCCTGTTCCAATTATAGACAAGCAGCTTTGTCTTTTTACAGATGTCAGAAAAATCAGATTAGAGCAGAAAGCTGATAGTAACACAGTTACTTAAGTGCATGGAAGTGATCTGATTGATTCTGTCTTCTTTTTGCATGCTGTCTTCCCCACTCTCTCTTTACCCTCTGTCTGTTGAGCTCTCTATGATTATTTGTCTCCGGTACTCTGACGCTCATTCCAGTTTGTTGTTATGGTGTTTAATTCCCTCTTGTCTTGTTTTGTTTTCACTTAGTCTTTTACTCTTGTTCTTCTTTGGTGCCTCTTTCCCCTGCTTGTAATCAGAGTCATTAGGAGCTGATATTCGGCGCTAATACTGCATCGTGATCAGACACAAACTCTACTGTATGTCTTCTACATACAAAGAATCAGATGTACACCGGAAGGATAAGTAGAACAAGAACATTAGATTCTTCCAGTAGCAGCTGCTGTAGTATAGCCGTCGTAGCATAGCTGCCATAGTGTAGCTGTTGTAGCATAGCCGCTGTAGTGTAGCGGCCATCGTGTAGCCGCTGTGCTGATTTCCTTAAACGTACAATACTAACCATCCTAAATGTCGACATGTACAGTATGTCCAGTAGGTCAGAAGCTCTATAAGACACAAATGTGGGGATGTAGGCCCATCAGTGAAGCTGTGTTGTCTCTTGCTAGGTGGCCCAAAATTTGGGTTCTAGTGTCCTTCAGAACTTCAGAGGGCGCTGTTGCTTTGCTACATAAGCCCGAATCAGAAAGTATTTTGAACCAACATTAAGGAGTGCCCCCACTATGTTGGCTTGGGGTCTACAATTTAAATGACCAGGATAAAGTGATCTACCTACACTGAAAACATTAAATATATATTATATACAAACAAACATACATATATATATACACATTATATGTTGGGGTACTTATACATGTCTGTAGCTGTGTCATACCATATGATCCAGTTCTTACAGTAAATGGTCACTACTACACACTACAGAATTATAATTACATGTGTATTTTTGTTTCTTTGAATTACTCGTGATAAACCAGCCCTCCCTGATCCACTGGTAGATCCCTATCTGCTTATTGGGCACCCGTGGATTATAGGGTATGAGCTTGTAGTGTCATGTCTGTCTGTTTCCGTGTTTTCCTGTGTTCTTTGTGGGGTAATCATGGGCTCACACTCACCTGTTGTTAATTAGCTTCACTTGTGTCACCTGGTGTTCCCTGTGTATATATACCCCTCTCCCTCACTCTGTCGGGGTTGGATCATTGTGATTGTGACTGTGTGTGTTGGATCAGTGTGTTAGATCTTTGTGAGTTTCCTACTCTGTGTTTCCTCGTGTTCCAAAGAGAGTTCCATGCCTGCCTGTTCTTCGTGTTTTGTTAATTTGGACCTTGTAAATAAAACTTCCTGCACCAGAAAGAGTCTCACCAGTACTGCATTTGGGTCCTGCCTGCTCCCTGCGATGCCCGCATGTGACATGTAGCTCAGATTCAAATAACAGATGGGATGTCACACTGCTGTAAACAAAAATCTTTCCCTTTTTGCCATCGGCACTGGAGCGTGGGGTACCACACTGCTGTAAACAAAAATCTTTGCCATCGGCACTGGAGCGTGGGGTAATATGTAATATGTCAACCTTTAAATCTATTCCCAAAACACAGATCTGAACTGTGGATGAGGTAACACATGGAGGTGAAGAGAAGTAGACAAGCAAATAATTTATGGTCAATCTATCGATCTGTATCATCACCGTGAATGTGGCAGAGTTGCGGTTCGCTTTTTTTCTTAGTTCCCTTTTTCTTTTCTGGTGTGCATTAAGCAGTGAATAATGTTTCCTTGCACACTCCCGTTGACTTAGAGGTCATAGTTACACCTGGATGTGTTTCTTTATCTGATCCACAGACCTTTGTAGTTCCACCTGGTTCTAATCTCACTGCCCTTAACCTCCCGCTCTGACCAAATTAAGATCAGATTTCATTAGTGAGAGCGTCAGATCTGCCAGAAAACGGTTCAAGCTCAAGACAACAACAGCAGGTGTCATTCATTTCGGAGTGGCTTTGAAGTGGTGAGAGTTGTGACTTTGGCTTGTGGTCCAGACAGCAGATACTTAGAGATTGAGCTAGAGCAAGCCGGGAGCAGAGCTGAGTCATGTCTCAGGACGCAGGTTGGATGTTTCTTAGGGGAAGAGTGAAAGAGTAGTTTTAGAAAAGAGACTAACGTTTTAATGTGTGTTTTAATGAACCGTTTTTGTTCAGATATACAGTCAGAAACTCTGTGACGGCACAAACCTATTACTGAAATTTAAAGCACTGGTTCCCAACCTTCTTTTGGCTAGTGATTCCATCTCGTCATGACAAATTTCACATTTTAGTAGCAGTCACGTGATCACAGTTGTTAATCAAGAAGCACCAGCTCAGATATTTTTATCTGCTGCTTTGTATTTAAACCAAATTTGTAGTCATGAAAGTAAAAATTATAATCATGATTTTAAAAAGAATAATAATTAATTGTGGAGCTTTGGCCCAGAGGCAATGTCTCTGTCATTGGTGTGGAACCCCAGGGTTCACCTCCTGGGCAAGTTCAAATCCTGGTTAGGGCAGTTGGTACCTTCCAGTGGACTCAGCACCTGCAGGTTCAGAGGGTTCGTCGGTGCAATGTGATTGGGGTGACGGTTGTGGAGACGGTGACCCGGTAACGGATAAGCAGATGAAAATGG